CTTATATGCGCACAAAATTGTCGAATAGCGACGCGCGTGTCGTGTAATTCATATAAAATGATTGCACCGATGTTGCCGCCGTTATATCTTCGGGTTGCCGATTGGGCGGCACAGCTAAGCGTGTCGCAGCGTATTAAGACGCTAACGAGATAAAAAAAAAAAAAAATCGACATTCCTGACCATACTTAGATGACCAGCTGACCTTACTAAGGCTCACCTCTTAAGTTTGGTATATATACCACGGAAGGAATTTAGTGAAAATTAGACTTATTCGATGTTTGTTATCTTATGTTTAATAAAATATAAAGATACACTTGATATCGACCAGACGTTTATGCGCACGTGCGCGTAATTTTGTTTGAATCGTTTTAGTACAATGTTATTTTATAATATATTTAGCCGTAGTGAAGCTGTCTATTAAATTACCTCGACATAGTTATCTTCATTATTTTTTTCTTGTTCGATTTTATTGATCATTTTCTTGTGATGTAAGAACGAAGAAAAAGCGGAAAAATGTGTATTTTATAAATTCTGTCGTTATGCTCATATTTTTTTTATTAGGTCTTAGTGTATATATATACTTTTAATTTATGTATGTACTTAGAAACATTCGTCCAATTGTTATTAATTACTTTCTTCCTCACATATACAGTTGCCTCGCTGCTACTACTACAATATGGTAAATGTTATATCAACAACAGTAATTTGATTATTTTTATAATTATATATACTCTTTACAAATAATAATATGCACGTTTATTAATATGAAATTATATCGATTCATCAATCTACTTATGCTACTTTTTACGTTATATTTTTTGAGAAATTAGAAAATTATACGTATGAAAAAAATATGTATATTTATTATACCTGACGCAATTTGTTCACTAAGACACAATTAACGTGTATAGTTATAATAGAGTTATATGATAATATAATGCCTTTCGAAGGCAATAACATGTAAATATAATTATTATATTTTGAAATTCAAAATATCATTAACATTCCTTGTTTTATGGAACGTTACCAAAACGAATTTGTGGAATTCATTCAAAGAATCTTCTAAAGTTTTTAATTATTTTTTTGTGAGCCTTGTTTTATAATTGTATTATTATTCTACCGCGGTACCTAATATTTGGTATGTATACAAGTGTATTAAAAGTGGTAAATATTTGCATTTTTATGTTTTTATTTTTACAACATTTACTATTTATTCAATATACCATACTAGGTTAATATGTACTGTCGAAGTTATTTTATATTCACGTTTATACATGTCAATAAACTTATCATCATTCTGTATTTCTGTATTATAGTACTTATTCGTCGTCATGTCAATTTTGTAAAAGAATGAACAATACCATCGTAACTACAGTCATAAAATTTATTTAGTACTCTGAAGTCTAAAATGTTATTTGATCAATATGCATCAATGCATTTAAGTGATTCTGTATTACATATTTAATTGTGCAACTCAAAATCTATTTTCGATTAATTTTAATTTTTGGTTTCTTATTAGCAGTTTTTTTTTTTTCCAAAGGAATATGGTAAAATTAAAGTAGTACTTGACAGTTAATAAAAAATGAAACATGTGTTATTTCAACGAACGGGACAATTATTATTTAGAATAAAACATAAACTATTTTACCCGAGAGCTGTTAAATTTCTGACTTATATTTTTACAATATTTGAACCGGTAATCCATTCGATGTGTACGAATTAATTATTTAAATTAAAGGTCTTAAAAGAACTTTAAAAAAATTAAATTTAATAACTAACATATTTCATTGGCTACTGCGTGTACTAGAATAAATACACTCAATTTTTAAATGTTCATTTACAGAAAATTGTTAATATATTTTATTTTTTTTAAAATTACCGAAATGTGTATCTAATTATTACTGTTGTTCAAATAAATTAAAACCTATTTTTGCTAATAACATACTTGTTACACCTATTATAAATATGTGTTAAATATAATAAAACAAGGCAAAAATGAATGCTGATTTTAGTTTCCTAGGTATACAAGTAACGCATATTTTACTATTTAAATAAACCTATTTATAGCAGTTAAGATAAGATAATAATCAAAATCGATTTTTCCATGTGTTTATTTTATAAAAAATTAAAACCAATTAATGAGAAAAATGAGAAAAAAAGTGTATTTATATATTTTTAAGATATTAATGTTTGTTTTTTTAAAACAATTATAACTAGCTAACTTTTAATATATTATGATTCTAACTAAATTTATTTGAATGAAAAACGTATGCCGAGAAAAATAAACTAAGCATAATATAATTTAGATTTATTTCTAAACGAATTTTCCTCGTCTTCTATTACCGCTCTTTTTTTGGAATGAAAAATAGCCATTGATAGATGATCTATGTGTACTGGTATTTGCCCTCATTACTCTTATGTGAAAAATATCGGATTAATATAAACGCGGAACTCAAACCTGATAAATACATGACCTTTTTGTTATTTATAGTAAACTTAAATAAAATGTATTTCAATATATTATGCATAATATGTTATATGTAAGCCCATATATATGTCAAATATAAATTATTTTCTCCGTTAAATGAATAAAAAATATATTCGATATAATATTAGAATACTTAACGTTTTCTTCTTCGCCTTTCTCCCAACTATTTGGGGTCGACCACCATTGTCCTAAACCTCCATTTGTCTCGATTTTTATATCTATATTATTATAGAATACTTAACTATATAAACTATTGATTTTTTATAATCATAAAGTTATGTATTATAGTTTTATTTCTAAACTTGTTGAATGGAATAATAATAATTATAATAGTCATAGGATTATGACAAGCAATCGATTTATATACTCGTCGAGGATACATTATTATAGAAATTATAGTTTCTAAAAATATATTTCAGTTAAAAAAAAATAATTGTTACATATATTTTTTTTTTTTTTATGGCTATGTCCAAGAAATGTAAATGAAATGAATTTTGTACGTCAAAAGTTATTTTTAACTTGTTATAACAGGCTCTAATATATTTCTAACCTTTAGGATTGAATGCAATACATTCAAAAGTTCTGTTCCGGAATCCTTCGTTCAGTCTGACGACAATTTCTGCAGTATTGACATCCGATTACACAAATCGCACGGACGGTTCTTATAATACATTATATATATTATATACATTATTTTATAGTTTCCCTTATCAATGGCACATTTGGAAAATTTTTAACTGTATATTGTGTATTATATCCTTCCGACATTCGTTTTCGCGCGCTCGACATGTGATTGCATATAATTTCCGTCCGTGACACTATTTGAACGTCGTGCTCGCGTTAACATATATACTTATGTATAGATATTTTATAATATCTAATTCTTGTCGCTGATTTGAATTGACATTTTTCGATCGAGGTAAAAATCTTCAACTTTTGTAATGACCGAATAGCTTCTTAGTTCGCCTATAAGTGCACTCCCTTCGTACACCCTTGAGTAAAAGGGTAACTCCACTGTTTTGTTGCACCACAAGCCGTCACGAGTATCGTTTTCCGATCGTAATAATATATTGTTTTTTTTCGCTTATAAATACATTTATTCCGGTTGAATACATCCGTTAGTAGCCGTCGTTGGGTTAGATTTGCGATTAGGAGAATATGCCGGGTCTTTATGTACGTGAACGGCGATCATGATGACGACGACGACAGTGTCAGTGTGTAGCTGTTATTTGGACCAAACATCGTAAACGTACATATGTATATATATATATATATATATATATATATATATTATAATATAATGCATGTTTCACATGGGCAGAGAGCCGGTATACACACGTAAGCCGCTTTTCGACGACCCATGTGCACATGGGACCGAAGAAACTGCCGCCGGTTCTATATATAGACGCACACCACTATGGCAGTGTATTAGAGTCAAACGTTCAACCCGTCGCCGTCGACTTCCTCGGCAGTCCGTTCTGCGTGTCCCGCCGCCATCGTTCGCTTTTTTTTTATTATTACGCGAGAGCGCATGATGAATTATTATTATTATTATTATTATTATTACGAGTATAATGTAGTGTAGATCACGAAAATACGAGATAATTATTCGTCATGCGTCACCGCCACACATCGTTTTTCCGTGTTCGATCGCGTTTATTGTTTTAACGGCTCCGGCGTGCGCGCGCTGGTTTAGTTAATATTTTTTTTTTTTAATTCGATATCACAGTGTGACGAACATATTATAATATTATACTCTACACACCGTCGTGCCCGTATACGTGCCGAGGAAACAACATATAGCCGCCGTCGAAGTTTGCGTGTCTAATACATTAATTGCCAACGCCCTTAGAGTTAATAATTTCCTTCCTCTAGGGCACGCGACCTTTAACTCATCCCGCAGTGCTATATATAGGTGATAATTAATACCACTACTGTCTACTATTACTGTTTTTGCTGCGCACTCCATACTCGGGTAATTTCATCGCTATCCTCTCTCGTGTTTTTTAACCATAACAACAATAACGCTATTTTTACGCTCGCGAAAAGCGCTACCGATTCCTATGTACACGCATACCCGCGTACATACATGTTCAGTATTTACTGTATAACCAAACTCTTGTATGTCTGCTGACTAGGCGCGTCTACATAAACGTAATAGATGTTGAGGCTCATCGGGAAGAACAGGTGGAAATATCGTGCGTGCGTGCGTATGAGTATGTGTGTGTGTGTGTAAGGCGTGAAATCGCGAGAAACTTCCGTGCGCACAATAGTCTCGTATTGATTTGTCATTTGGAAAATAGGTGTTTATTTTCTCATGACGGAGACTCCGCCGGTGTCGTTGTCCCATAGCAACTGCACAGCACTGTGCACAACCATATTTCGACTGCATTTCATAATGCACGCACGCGCGTTCACGCCGTATATCGCTGCGGCGGCGGCGGCGTTGTAAATTATATATATTATATGCAACCGACAGCAAATGATTAACCCGCTCGGGTGTTTGTTTCAGGTGCGACATGAACCGACGAGTGTAAGGTTGGTGGTCGCCGGTCGGATGACGATGCTATTATGATACTATGACCGAGCCGCTGCTACGTTCGGACGGCGAATAATGACCGTCAGCTGTCATCACATTTGAGATCTGAGCAATGACTACGACGGCAAACCATCGGACGTCTGCAGGTAACATGGCGCCCGAGCCGGAGGAAGACATCGCGGCCATCGCGAAACAAATATCGGACCACGCCGAGGCTATATACCAGACATGGAAGGCCCGGGGCTTGGCGCCCAACGAGATACTCACGTGCCATCGTGACTCGTCGGCGGCCGACAAGTTCGGCTCCGTGTTGACCCCTCAGCCGAAACCGGCGGCGGACGCGGTGCACAAGAACATGTTGACCGATCCGAACACCAACAACCTGGAACGGTTGGTGAACAAGTTCGTGGTGGAAGACAAAGCGCGGCTGGCGGCGCGGCAATCGCGTTCGTTGTCGCCCAAGCCGTTCGCCTCGTCCATCCAGTACGCGTTGCAAAAGTTCGAACAGAAAGCGTCCAGCCTGGAACAGGTGAAACCGAACGGAAGTGCCGCGATAAAGAGGTACAGCAAATCGCCGCTCAAAAGTTACCCCGACGACTTCGTGCCGGCCGCCGCCACCACCGCCAAGAACGCCACGGTGGCGCCCGTCACGGCGATGACCAATAACGACACGGCGTCGTGGCCTTTTCGTAAAAGTAAGACGGACTCGTCTCAGAAGTCCAACGACTTCATGGACGAGGTGGCCAAAGAGGAACAACGACTGATCGACGCGCTGAAAAACGGATCGGTGATCGAGAACAGGAAGAGCGAGAAGCCCGCCGTGCCCAGCAAGGAAGGAGTGCTGCGCTCCGTCGGCTACGACATGATCGGCAACCGTTCCAAGCCGGAGTTCCTCATCGGGCTGTCCGCGCTCAGCTCGTCCCGGAGGAATCAGCACGCGCACAGGCAACAGGAACAGGTGCCGCATCCCGAGCTCACCGATCACCAGCGAGCCAACATCCGGTCCAACCACCAGTCGAACCCCGTGCGGCCGTTCCTGACCCGCGGGTCCGTTGCCGAGCGCGTACTGATCTTCGAAAAGTGTCCGACCGAGTTGATGAAGAACTCCGCGACCAGTTCGGCCCAGTCGTGGAAGAACATCGGTTCGGATGTGCACACCAAGATCCAGGTAACCAACGTAAATGTATTTTTATTATATACACAGCGGTATTGTTTCGAGACGATAAATCACTGCAATGGCGTATTGTGGAATCAATTTGTAGGCGCGTGAATAATATTACGGTGTGTGAGATGGATGCATTTTTCCACCCACTGGTCCGTGTGTATGTGTGTATCCGTTTATTATTATTATTATTGTACAGTTGTGTGTTGTCGCACCGAGTTAATAAGTGGGTTTTTATTAAAACATAATGTATAAATATATATATATTTATTTATTTATTATGGGAGGGAAACGGGAGGGAGAATGTTGCAAGGCAGGTTTATTTTTTATTTTTATTATTTCACAAAGTCACAAGTGAATGTGTTCTAGTCATTGCTGGGTCAACATGTGTTCGTTTAATAATAGTAATAATAATAACAGCGCCAGTTAAACATGTTAACGCATCGCGAACGCAGTGACGATGGCCTTGTGTCGCGGGAATTTTCGCAAAAGCTGTCCGATCAGATGTGTTTTATTCCTTTTGTTGTAACCGCTGCTCGATGTTTTTATTCATCTACCGCGGCCGTCGTGTGGTACAATTAGTTTAACGTTTAATAGTTATCTAAGGTCATTTCGTGTTGGCGTGGTCCTATTTCGTGTGGGCTCGCGATCCCGATATTAGTGAGAAAAATTAAAAATATGATACGGGTGTGCAGTCGCCGCCGCAATATTCACCGTGTTGCTCAGAACTTTTGGAGGTAAACGTATTACCCCAGTAACATGTGATGATGATGTTGAAATGGTAACGAGCGTGCGATCTTGGTGCTACGCATGTCAAATACTAGTGTTGCAAAACAATAATAATTGCGGTGAAGAAGAAATTCACAAGCCCAAGTTTCCGTATAAACCCTGGAAACAACGATTGCCTAGGTCTTACAATAAGGTTCGTATACGAATTGGTTTATTTGTTCGGTCACGGCTTATTTAGAACGAAAATTCGTTTGTTTTGACAAAAAAAACCATCAAAAACTACGTTACTTTTTTCTACTACATAACGGAAATCAAATCCAATATTCTACATTTTTTTTTTTTGCCTATCAAATGACTATTTGTTTTATTTTATTTTTTTGAAAAATGGGCGCGGGCTTATAGAACTATTTAAATTTCATGGTCACTTTGGTCGATTATATTTAATTAAAATTGAATCTAAATACCATAATTATACCGTGCTAATTGATAGTATGATATTTTTTTTTAATTGTTTATCCATTTACCTAATAATAAAATATTAATTTAAATGTATTTTATATGGTATGATTAAAAGTATCTAAATTGTATTTTATTCTATTAAACCAATTATATATTTTAAATTATTATTAAAATACTATTTGATTTCAAATCAAGTTTTTTATTTTAGTAGGCGTACTTTTCCCATATATTTTATTACCACGTTTCTAATATGGCTCATATGTCCGTCCATTATATTAAGCAACTAATGGATTATGTAAAATAAATCATAGTGTCTTTAGGTCACGTACACGATTCTTTTTAAATAACTAATGGACCCCCTTAACATTTATTTTATGAATATATCATATTATAGTATAGAATATACAACATTACAAAAGAATAAAGACGCCTAAATAATTTTAAAGCGAATACTTATGAGTCAACTCGTGGATGAAATTATGCATCTTCTAAACATACTATGATTTTCTGGGAAGGGGGAAATGTTATACTCGCGAAAGTATATCTTTTACAATTGTACGTATTATTAAAACTTTTTTACTGGTAGATTTTATGAAGAATTGTTCTAATTAGTAACTGTTCTTTTATTGTTTTAGAACTATTCAAAAGAAACAAATCAGAAACCTGGAGCGCCTCCACCACATACTACGTTACAAAGACATACAAAAGCTAATCGTAATGTATTCATTCCTAGGTAATATTAAAGTTAAAATGTTTCAATAATCATCTTCGGAATTAAAAAATTTAAATTTTTGTAGATTTTATTATCCGTTTGGCAAACCTGAGAGCCAACAACAGTGGGATATAATTGTTAAGACAATCACAGATTTCTTTTTGTCATTGCCAAATTCACAAGCTTCCAAACATCATTTTGGTCAAATTTCAAAGGTATTAAACAACCTTTATAATTATTATTATTTTTTTTTTCTATGATATTTTACTGTTTGTTTATTTTACAGTTATGTAACTGTCCGCTTTATTGGAAAAATCCTTTATTCATTGCCTGTGGTGGGGATTTATCCAATTCAATAGATTTAAATACCTTCCTTAGTTTTTGGAAAGAGTAAGTTTATAGTTCATTAGAATTATTATGATTGTTTATTAATTATTGCTATTGACTAATTTTTAAGTATATGGTCTTCTTGTCATGATTTGCCATCAAAATTTATACGTATTTTGTCAAGAAACTCAAAAAAACAAACTTTATCTCCTGAAAACTTCATCGTACTAGTCCAAGATGTGGTTGATTCGCATCCCGGCTTAACATTCCTGAAAACTGCACCAGAATTTCATTCTAGATATGTACACACGGTAATTTATTCATATAAATGTTTTAATTTCTTCTTATTTTAAATTGCATTATTTATTCTAGGTAATATCAAGAATATTTTATAGTGTTAACACATCATGGAGTGGTGATCTTAGCCTAGCAGAAATCAGACGTTCTAATCTGATGCGTGTCATTGACTTATTAGAAAAGGAAGAAGATATTAATCAAGTAACTGCTTATTTCAGTTATGAACATTTTTATGTTATATACTGTAAGTTCTGGGAGCTAGATCGAGATCATGATTTATTTATTAGCAAAACTGATTTAGCCCGACACAGTGATCATGGTAAGTTTTTTCATTAATATTTAATTTATAATGATGTATAATATTTATTATATTGTAATATTTTTTAGCTTTGTCCACAAGAATAATAGACCGAATATTTTCTGGAACAGTTACCAAAAAGAAGCAAAAAACTTCTAACAATAATTATATGGAAGAAAAAATGAGTTACACCGAATTTGTATGGTTCCTAATGGCTGAAGAAGATAAACGACATCCTAGAGCAGTTGAATATTGGTTTAGGTGAGACATCCTATAGCTGTTTATGTTAGAATTAATTTTTCTAAATTTATTTGACTATTATAGATGTATGGATATTGATGGTGATGGTTATTTGTCAATGTATGAACTTGAATATTTCTATGATGAGCAACTTCAAAGAATGGAAAGCATAGGAATTGAGTGTTTACCTTTTGAAGATTGTTTATGTCAGGTATAAAGTTAAAATGTACACCATAAAAATATTGAAATGTATTTCATATTTTATTTTTTCTAGATGCTTGACATGATTAAACCAAAGTGTAAGGATAAAATATCATTGGCTGATCTCAAAGCTTGCAAAATGACACCAATATTTTTTGATACATTCTTTAACCTTGAAAAGTACTTAGATCACGAACAACGTGATCCATTTGCATCACAAAGGGATAATGAGAATGAAGTGAGTAATATAATATTTAAACTATTTAAAAATGAATGTTGGTTAAATTTGTATTTTTATGTTAATAACCAATTTCAAGCATAACGAAAATGGAAATAAATATTATAAGGTCAGTTTTTTTTAACATGTTTTGCATATGGAATATATTATTAATTGTTATACTCTGAATAAACATTTATAAATAAATATATATAAATATATTCATTGTTTTAGGCATCTGATTGGGATAAATATGCTGCTGAAGAATATGAAATGTTGGTAGCTGAAGAAGGTGGAAATGATGTCCCTGAGGAAATGTAAGTAATTATTTATTATTGTTACTTTAGTATTATAAAAATTACCATTGGATTCTTTATGGAAACCTAAGATTATGTATTTTCAACATTTTATAACTTGAAATTATAAAAAAAAAAAAAAAATGGTGGTAATATTATTACAGAATAACAGATGAAGACATTTGAGAGGCAAAATGTATGTAACAGTGGTAAGTGTCTGTGGTCTATTGTGCCGTCCTCCACTGTTGAATAGCACAATCCTATAACTAAATATAACACACCCTTTTTATTTAGATCATTCTTTATTTTTAATTTTTTAATTTTTATAATCACGTAGTTCTCTAGTTACCTCACTGTCATAACATATTACGCTGTTGTGTTTCTTCTGTATTTGTTATTATTTCCCAAATAATTAATATGAGTATTTTTTTTTTTATATATATATAGAAATGGAACTGATATTGAAGATATCCTGTCACCTAATCTAGATGATGTATTGAATTCATGTTCTTATAATAAAATATCCAATCAGCCAAGAGTTTTAATCACTGATTTCTCTTCACCATCTAATAATATGTACGATGAAAATGACTCATCTGACTATGCTGGTGATAGTGATGATGATATTTAATTTTATATTCTTGATAATTATAATGCAATTAACATAAATTGATTACTATTTGAAACCACGGGGATTTGCAGACATTATATTATACCAAAGAAAGTAGTTGCTCATATTGTCCGCCTGCTCTCAAATAATTCTTCTTTTATCTACTTAAACTCTGATAAATTCATAATTATTCACTAAATGTTATATATTAATTAATGAGTGTTTTTGTTATTAGAATATATATATATATATAATATTGTCATTTTTATTTTGTTTTAATATGAAAAATTAATCATTGTTATTTTCTAATTGTATAAAGAATTAAAAACTAGGTGGTATATTGCTATCTGCCAGATTTTATATTTGACATTATTATTTTTTGTATGAAATTTATAAATTGTAATTGTACATAATTATTAATTCAATTTTTAACTAGTGAAATTAATGTTAAAACTAAGTAGTATATATATAATTCTGTAATATATAATTTAAAAAAAAAACCAAAATATCTGTTAAATGTTATGAATCTTTTTAAAATAGTATTAAGAGTTGTTGTCCTGTCTGTTAAAAACAAACAAATTATTAACATAGTCTAGTCGGAAATAGAATGTTATTATGATACTAATAATAATGACATTATTTGTTGATTACATATTTCTAAAAAAAAATACCGTATGAAATATTAAAATTTAATTTCCTTTTTATTTTATGTTTTATTTTTGTAGTTATTGAACCTCCAACCTAATTTACCATTCTTATTTCTTATGCATATAGCTTAATATTTAAGTGCAAGATGATAATATAGTTGTAGTCTAGAACTAAATAGATATACTGCTTATAATCACTTTTTATACATTAAATAATCTTTTAACAGTTTTAGTACTGAACTGTTTTTTAACATTTATTTGTGTACCATACACTAATATAATGTAGATAACAACTACCTTCTTGTGCTATTTGGAATTATTCAAATCATTTTCTGTTTTTAGTACCTATAATTAATTATTATGGCTAATTTGTAAAATTATATATTATTTTTATAGTAGTAAATGTTAATAAATAAAAATCAACACAACCTTATTCTTCAACAGTTTCAACAATTTTTTTAAAAAACATAATGTATCTAGTGGAAGACAGAGGTAGCTTGTAATCACCTACCAGGGCAGTGCCCTGGTAAAAACATTTTTTAGGTTCATTTTAGATAAATAAATTAAAATTTAGTGAGTATACTAGTACATTTATGAACATGTTTAATGATACATAATTATTTTAATGTTATATGTTTAGTAGTTATAATGTAAATCGAGCAAAGCCAGAACAGTTTTTTCGGGCCAAATGGGTGGTTTAAAATAATCTGCCATGGTAAAATGTAAATGTTCAAACTGCCTTTGACGGTGGATACAATGAAACATTTAAATTAAAATATTGGTTATTTTCCCATCTCTAAGTACATTGTACAGCTATTGATATTATAATAATATACATTATACAATCAATGGTACAACACTACTCACTACTCTGTTGTTCATCTGTATCTGAAGCAACAATTTTAGAGTTTTTATACTTATTTATAAATAAAATTATATATTTTATATTTAGCAGTAAATATATTAATTGGATAAAAGTTATTATGGTAGAAAATTCATAATGTAATATATTGACTACAAAAATGGTTAACAGTTAAAATATATTTAATTGCTGAGAAACTGTGTACTTGTGTTTTATAGCCTTAAAAGTCGTCAATTTACATACTTATAGATTAATCTTTTAAGGTCGCATTTAATTCATTCACCATTTTGTTTGCTTCCAGGCTAAATTTAAGAGCTGTACATTTTTTTTCAAATTTTATTAATTCATTTAGATTTTCCTATTATATTTAATTTGTCATTATTAGGTTAGATGTAATTTCACTATGTATGTTACAAAATTTTAGGAAACCCACTAATTCAGTTTCATCCAATAAATTTATCCTCGCTACAGTTTTATGAGAAATTATAAATTTGAATTTCTTTTCCACTGGTAATTGGTTGAATTCTTCTTTTTCTAAACTTTCTACCACATATAAGGTACATAGTGTGAATTTTTGTACAAGTTTAGCAGAAAATGGTAACTTTTCAAACCTTGAATTTGAAAAAAAATTTCCTAGATCGACCTCTTTGATTTGTCGTAACAGACTTATTAAATTTTGTTCATTTATTTCGGGACCAAAATTTGCATCTAAGTATGATAAATTAATTTTATTTACTTTTGTAATTTGATTATTTGTATTACGTTTAATATAAAATGTGTTATCCATTTAGTATCATTATTTATTGAAGTATTAATTATTTTTACTCACAGGGACAAAAAAAAATTAAATTACCCTATTCTTAATAACTATATTCTTATTCTTTAATTACTTACTCTATAATTATCAATACAAAAATTATATAAATGTAATAAATTGAATCTATAAATTGCAATGCTATTTTTTGTAATAATAAAAAAAAATTACAAACTCACAATATTTCCCTACACTATTATCTTCAATACTTAAATCTCAGAAATGCTCATCAAACAACTCTGTAAACTTCTCTAAATTTAATTTTTATTAAAAGTACACTTATACAAAATAAATTAACAACTACTATTTAATAAAAATCTAAACCAATCCCAAATATTTATAATTCCTATGGTTACGGCGCCTCCACCAATATGTAATGTGGTCGGGGATGACCAGTTAAATATATGATATTCAGGGAAGATTTTCTAGTCCTTGTGAATATATTATACCGTAGCTCGGGAGCATAAAAGGAAAGATCTTGATATTACAAATAAATGTAGATTGATTTAGTTTAATTATTATTATTTAATTTACATATATAAATAAGACTTACGGACTATGGACTACATCAAGACAATATGGAGTTCAGCTACATCGGAAGAACGTCGTGGCAGAACTGTCACGACTTAATGAAATATCGTAAACATGTAAATTAACGTGATGTCTGCTCAGCAATATCCATAATACATGAGTAGACATTAATAATATGTAACAATCGTTACATTATTACGTATTATATATACTATATTCATTATTTATTATTGAAAAAATACTTTTTATGCATTGGTCTTCTTACTTTGAACCGACTGTACTGTATTTGAAAGTTTTTTTACTTAGATAATTTCATATCTAAAAAAATGTCAAGTTATCTAGTGTTTATGAGACTTATAAATTATTGTATCTAATTTATTTTAATAAATGTGTCCCTTTGTTTTGCTATAGGTTAGGTTACTGGAGAAGACACTTATGTTTTTGTTATCATAAATATATATTTTATTTGGTAACTGAAATATCAAGATCTAAATGCATATTCATACCTTTTTTTTAAAATTCTATGCCAGTCTATTAAATATAATAAATTATACACATATGTAACCTTTAACTATTGTTGAGAAGATACTTAACTTTGTAAGAGTACTATTATTATGTTTGATTATTTTCAATTACACTACGGTTTGCCCTTTGCTATTTCATTTTTTTTATGTACATATAAATGTTTTATATATTTATTATTTTGGTTTTTATACGTTTGACACCATGCATCGATTGTTAGTATAGTACCGTAAGTATGGTGCCGTAGTATTTTTAAGAAAACAATTAGGTGGGGGTCTCCTAGATAGCGAACGCCTTTGACGCCGAAGACGTATCAATTTTCCACCCGTATTTTATCAATAGTTAATAATTATCACAAGTAATAACCGTGGTAGTATTGCATGATAAGTCGTACCTACATAAAACACAGATATCTATATTATACTAGATAACGAACTACCGATGTTTTCCATTGAGAGAAGTGAAGTCCGGGGACGCAAGATTATCATACGTCCGCTATGTTTTCGGTTGGCGAAACAATATTACTTTACACTATATAAAACAGTTGAACACACTAAATTATTAAATTAAACATTTTTCATTACATTTAATCAAAATTAAATTTCATTACAGAATTGAGAATATTAATTTAAAATTGCACTATTGATTATTTATATAATGTATATAATATATATTGATTATACTGCTAAAATATCTCCATGATGATACCTCATCTACAATCTGAGCTGAGCTATTTATACGGAGGCAACAATGGAATCAAAATACTATTCCAAAACCGAATTCTGCTATTGATTCACTCTCTCATTACACCAATCTTCAACCTAACATTAAAATACTTTTACAATTATTCGCCACGTTACCAGTTACCTCTTCCACTCCGGAAAGAAGTTTTCTGCACTTCATAGCTTAAAAAATATTTAAGAAGCACCATGTCAGAAAACAGACTAAATAGGTTAGCTATGACTAATATAAATAAAAAAGAGCAATTCAATGAAAGTGAAATAATAACCTAATTTGCCAGAAATTCGCCTAAGAGGATGCAGCTTTCAGAGTGGAGCAAGTGACTGAACACTGAAACCAAAATTATTATTATTATTATAAATTATATATTAATAAATATTTTAAAACTATACTAAAATGCATGAATTGCATTTAAAAACTTCGTGGAAGATGGTGGAAGGGGTTAAGGGTGAATTCTCATATCCTCTCTTACTTTACTTATCAAAAAAAGTGATTAGCCCCTCCCATTTAAAAATCCTGGCTACGCCACTGACTGCTACTAACTGCTACTGCTATTTTATCTCATCATTACCACACATAATATTTAACCATATTGTTATAGGATGCGCGATTGTGATAAAAATATAAAAATTAAAGGTAAATATAATCTAAAATAAATAAAATGATTGCAATACATATAATACGCTTTGTTAAGCGTTATATTTATAACGTAATATTAGTAGGGGGACGCTAAAATTTCTGAAATTTAGTTAGGGTACTCCGTCCCCCTGCGCCTCCCATCAAGTCAAGCACTGATCTTAATGGACTAGGCAGTGTAAATTATTGTGAGTTAAGTAAATAATTGAGTTCAACTCATAAGTCAAAATCATTTAATATTAGAAACAATAAAAGTATAAGTTTATTACACAATTTTTCTAGTGATCTATGAAAGGTACCCTACGTATCATGTCACACTATCCAACCCCCACCATTGTCTATTCCGTCCGAGAAACGAAGCAATGAAGGACAAACACCCAGGCCGTTCAAACCTACGTATCCGGTCGACTTTTTCTCTATAATATAAAAATCAAAAATCGATATAACCTTTGTTATACCTACAGGGCCAAGGTTACCCAGTTTATGTGGGTAAAAATTGTCATCACTAACTACTCGTATAACAGTTACGGAAATAATATGTCTTGGATATTGTCACTTTGCAGGCATTAATTTCATGTTTATCGTATCATTAAATTCTCTATGACGGTTCCTTTAACAACAGTTTATGATAAAATCAAATTTAGTTTTTAGTTCTCGTACCTTTTCAATTCTCAACAAAATACCAACTGGTAAGAAAATATTATATTTTTTATTCTAATGATTTTTATAGTCTTACAATAGACTCTGATCTGTCAAATAGTAGATTTGATAACATGATAAATTTTGCACCTTTCATCTTTATATTTTAAGAAACTATTATTTTGAATAAGAGTTTTTAATTCATTCTACAGAGTATTTAATCGTGGTTTTGACAAAAATTGTTTCAAAACAAAACTAGTTTTGTATTCGAACAATTGTTGGTATACCAAAGCAAAAAGACTTAAAACAATACCATCGATATTATTACACTTTTTTCACCGTGTACATTAATTTAATTGAGATATAAAATCAAAATATCTCAATTATGAAAATAATGGAGATATCTCAATTATCAAAATAATAATTCCATTACGAGTATATACCCGAGAGATTATTTCGAGTGATATCTCGTTTATTTTAAAAACAATCAGTTCTTGATCTCGAAATGTATATGGAATAAAAAATATTACGAATGATGTTTATGGATCAAAGGAGGAAGGGAGGAATACTATTTTTAATCTTCATAATCGAATAAGTAAATACTAGTTTTTGTATTTTCGACTCGTGCTACTCGTGGACTGATCGTTAGACAAATATTGATGAGTATATGGTTATTCTTAGTTATTTATATTTTAAAGTTTGACATAAATATATACCTATAATTTTTGAATTACTCAACCACAAAACAACAAAAAATTTTCAGAACGTTTATAAATAAAATTATATTAATATTATTCAAGGAATTATAACAACAATATTGTAACTATTACTAATATTTCGATTATGCCCATCACTAATCACGTATCTCGATTATTAATATTTCGAAACATCTCGATTATAAAAATGTCTCGAATAGGTACTAATATTTAGATTATTGAAATCATTCAATTATGACCATCACTAATTAAAAATATCTCAATTTTTGCCAAAACATCGTTGTCGCCTAGTAATTAAAGATATCATCTTCTAGGCGACAAAAAAATATTTACTAGGCGATTATTATGTCACCCAGAATATTAGTTAAAATAAGCACTGACACAGATACGTCACATTGGTTGCAGTCGTAAGGCAGTAGCAGTTGCAAATTTGCATTACATCGCACGTGCTGCGGCCACGATCATTATAAGGTACTTTTACTTGGTTAAAAAAATCAAATGCACTTTTGAAATTGATCGTTTCACAATTATTATTGGTTAACGAGTCGGCTAGCCTGCAACGGGCCAGGCGCTTACGTGATAAGTTTTTAACGCGCGCGTGTGCGTACGAGTGTCTGTTGTTTCCTAGACTCGTTACCCGTAGTCGTCTCCACTTCTTTTCCTCGTTAATGTTTTGCGTTTCAACATTTATCTCTGCATGGTTTTGTCGTTATCACCGTTTATTACTGCAACATAATTATTCTCTGCTCGTCTCCACTCGGCAGTGTTCTTTCGGCTCGCTCGTCGTCTGCTCACTGATGCAATCACAAATTCACAATCGCGACAACAACAACAACATTACTCTTTGTCCTCTGTTGTTCCGTAAGACAATCCCATAAGTTTTTACCCGTATCAAAAGCGTGCTTCGATTTCGTCTTCCACCGCACGACACTGCACCGTTCTAGTGACTTAAGCTGGAAGTCAAGGTCAGTATAATGTGTATACGTCGTACCATCCTGCCATTGTACGTGCAAAAAATCTCGCGCTTGAATTTGAGCGCTTTCCATTTTTGGCGACAACAAAAGTTCCTGGCCCTTGGGAGTGTGTGCTAAGCCTGGAGCGCGAGCGCGTGTGTGACTTTGTTGGTAGGGCCACACGTCGTCATTTGAGCTGTACCTGCTGACGATCGTTGCTGGCGGGATAGCTCTTCGCGAAAGAGGCCCCACCGTCTCCGAGTTTTGAGCTTCGGGTTGGGGCTCATTTACTCTCTTGATCGTATGTTGAGTCGTTGAGACTCGTCATGTCCCGTCTCCTTGACCAATGTTGGTTTGCACTCCCATTTGCTTTGGACACAACAAAATTTCATCATTAGGAGGAGAGGTACCTTCTGATTTCATTGCAAACATAACATGGTTTTGTGTTATTGCAGATTATGACATATTGTTCAGATATGTGTTCCAATTGCCAGTCAAATATTGTTTGTGGTGATTTTCTGTAACAAACGGCCATAAAATAGGTAAATAATATCGCTATGTGACTACTGATCTGTTAGTTTTTATATCATTGTGTAAAAACATGTTATATAACAATTGTATACACTTTGTTTAACAATAATAATTTGAATAGTTAATTATTGTTTACTTCCATTTATTCTAAAAAGCTTGTTTGCATTAATAATAAAGTTTTAAAATATATCCTGGCATGGTTGCATACATAAATTACTTCTGTACATGAATTCAGTATTTTTATCAAAATACATTTTAGTGATTCTTTGGTAAATTCGTAACATGATTTACTTAATTGTTATTTTACAGTAGGTTTTTCATGTGTTATGTGTATAGATATAATATTTTATGAATTTTTTCATTCTTCTATTTAATTATAAAATACATTTTTATTTATAAATTAATTAAATTATGTAGCTTTTACTTTTTCTATTATTTGTATTTGTAAATGGAACATTGTTCCATTTAAAAATAGCTTTTTAGTTTTATTATAATTCTTCCCTTCAGCTCTCACTAAACCAGTAATATGAGTGTTTCAAACTATTGAAATAAATGGTAATTTTTTTCTTAGCTGATTTCATAATTAATTTGAGGATTCAATCAACCTTATTTTTAAAAATTGTATCATATTTGTAATAATGTATACATATTTTCTAAAATACATACATTTTTTTTATGTATATGTATCTAAAATTAATTATCATTGTTTAATTTTAGACTATATCTTTATACATATTTTATAGTGCAATAGCAGGTTCTTTTTTTGTATGTAAACAAATAATTAAAATGTAAGTTACTGATTATACTATTATATTATATTAAAAACCATTGTCTTATTATTAATTTAATTTATCAATATCTATATCAATTTCTAAGGTTAAAGTCATTTGTTTGTTAAATATTTATATTTTGATGTTTTTATTTATTTAAAAGTTTAAAGCAGACCTTTTGGAACTACACTTGATTTGTATAAATTTTAAATGTGCCTATTAATAAAAATTGTATGGTTAATACTTATTTTTTTTTATGTACCAAATAGTTCAAGAACATATGTATAGACTAAATTAAATTTCCTTAACATTAATTTGTCTAACTATTAAATACTAATATATTTTTAATTTTAACAAAACAGTAAACAAAAATTACTAGAAACTATAAGTAATAACTAATATTCATTAATAAATTATTAGCTTTATCTGCCATAAAGTAAAATAATTATTAAATGCTTGTGAAAAAGTACACGATATTGTCAATTTAAACTATAAAAAATTTTCCCTTTAAAATATAAATATTTTTCTATAAAATTCTGTGTGAATTTTATTATGAAATTTAAGAATAATTTATAAAATTAACCCTATAAGCATAACAATTTAATGAATTATTTTATTTAAAATATTATATAAATTTTAATTTTAATTATTTTATTTCATTTTTGTATGTATATTTATATATATATATATATTTGTTCTAGTTGAATATCAGATGCTGTATAATAATATTCAAACATGTTAGAAAAGGCAAGGGCATTTATTGCCTTAATTGCCTTTGTCACTACAATAAGATGCGATATAAACATATATACTAAAGATCAGCAACAGTTGGATATAGAGTTTAAAGATGCAGAGTCTCTTTTTGGACCAGGCATTCCAAATGATGGCATTAAAGTATTTTATTTATAATAATATGAAAAATTATACCTAATGTGTATAATGTATATTTGAATGTGATATTATTTAAGGGTTATATTGTAAATGCTATTCCTGAAGATGGCTGTTCTAAGATAAAACCACCTCCGCTTAAAATTGGAAGTTGTTTTGCTTTGATCAAAAGAGGAAATTGTAATTTTGATGTAAAAGTTCGTAATGCTCAAAATAGTAATTATTCATTGGCTATTGTGTACAATGTCAACTCGAGTATTATTTGTAAGTAAATAATGATTCAAAAAATTGTTAATTTTTTTATGTGGATAAATATTCTTTATATTTTATTAAAAATAATGAAGTCTATTCATGTTATTTTTTTTTATATAAATTTTTTATTAAAACTGATAATTTATATTAGATTTATAACTAATATAATTTTTTTTTTTTTTTGAATTAGTACCAATGGATGGTTCAAATGTTAGTGATATAAATATTCCATCGGTTTTTGTCGGAGAAAACACTGGCCATGGATTGAAGGATTACTATTTATATACTAATGGCTAATTATAATGTTTTATTAAATTATATTGTTTTTTCAGAAAAAGTGTTAAATTTTTAAGTGCTAAAAATTTAAGATATTTCACTGTTTATGAAATAATTTGCCCTTTACAATTTGACCAAGCTATTCATACGCCTACGCTTAAATTTATTAGGTTCTGCTGTTTCAATAGTATATAATCATTTTATCATTTTATGAGTACTGACACTGATGTCAAGTGAATAGTAATTGACAATCAATAAGGAAATATCCACATTTTTGTTTATGAAAAAGTATTTTAAATATACATTTTTTGTGTTACAAAAACTATTTATTTTACTATAAGTTATCTGATTTTACAAAAAAAAAAAAAAAAAAAAATAATAATAATAATAACAATAATAATAATAATTTGGTCATAGTCTACTTAATATTTGCTATATAGTTTTTAAAATGTAGTTATTATTTTTTTTCTCAGAAAATTGATGAAATATTCAAATTTAAATTTTGGTAGCCATAGATTCAAAAGAGTTGCTTGACAATCCTTAATTAGGTCTTATATGAAATGTATATCTCTTTTTTAAAATAGTTCCACAATATTGATTCAAAAAGTTACTGATAAACAATCAGTTGTGAGTAAATTAATGAGTGGGTACCAGGATATCCAATCTAAAATAATTTCTAGGAATTTCATTTTAAATTCTAACATATTAATAAACTGCTATTATTATTTTAATTACTTCTTACTGTTATTAATTATCTATGATACATGTAATAAAGTTGTATTATTATCTTTTAGCTTTTTTGTGATCATTGACAACAATCAATTCCCCTTCGATATAAACTTGAATTTATTATTGCCATTCGCTGTTACTGTTGCTGTTTGTTTCTTCATAATGCTTGGGTTTATGGTAATATATATTTATTACTTTGTCTTTAAATGAATGAAATATTCAAAAACATAAATACAATAATTAACTCAAAGAGTTTTTCATCAATACCTATGGGTAACTAGGATCAAGATATATATTATATCTATATCAAAATATATTTTTGACTAGCATTTCAAAAAATATTTGATATAATGAGCTGTAAAGTTAATTATACTCTGAAACTAATTGAATTAAGAATTTGGACAGTATTTAATTATTTTTATTAACTTAAAGTTTATATTTAACTTAGGTTATATATTTCTTTAATCTGAAAAAATTAGTCTTGAAAAATAGTAATAATAATAAATTATTATCATCTGCTTAAATAGTAATAAAATATTCATTTTAATATTTAAAATCAACATTTATTTTCTTATTTCTTGAATAATATTTTAGTTTTAGCTATATATACTATATACACATTTATATTTATAGCTATTGTATTATGTCTTTTATAGCTTAAGAATATGCTCATATATCAATATTTAAGTTCCTAGTTATTAGAAAAGTTAAAATCATAATTAAAATGTATATTATTTATATATATTCATCTAGGCAAACTTATAAACATATAATATTTTAATATAATAATGTGCTATTGTAATTTACAGCTAGTCAAATGGATAAAAGATCGAAGAAGAGCATTTAGACATAGATTACCTACGTCAACTCTTCGTAAAATTCCTATTTCAACATTTGTGAAAGGTGATCCATATGATACTTGTGCCATATGTTTAGATGATTATATGGAAGGTGATAAATTAAGAATTTTGCCATGTGCTCATGGTTAGTATATATTTATTTTATCTATTTTTTCATTTAATAATGAAATTAATAGTAATTAATACAATTTTATATATTCAGCATATCATTGTAAGTGCATTGATCCTTGGTTAACATGTAACCGACGATTTTGTCCTATTTGTAAACGTCGAGTTTATGGAAACAATGAAGATTTACATGCTGTGGCATATTCCTCAGACACTGATAGTGATGAACCCAATGATAGAACACCACTAGTTCCGTCCCGTATTAACAACTCAAATTCTTTGGGTGTTGGTACATTCCGTAGTTTCAGAGTGAGTAAAATTATGATTTTTAATTGTAAGTACAATTATTTATGCATTTTTATTTTTTTTTTATAGGGACGTGTGTTCACTCGTGGGAGATCTGCTAATACTGTTCCTGTGCATCCACCAGTCTTATCGTCGATCAATGTAGCAAGTGCTGATTATGATACAGCATCATCACAAACAGATTCATCAGATTCTATGTCATCAGATTTTCAAAACGTTTATGATCCACCAGTACATCGATCACACTCAAGTAAAAATAAAAAAATATATATATATACAAATAAAAAAAAAATATGTTATGAAAGTCTTAATATAATACTAAAGTCCTAAATATTTCGATTTTTAATTTAGATTCAGCAGATAATTCATCTCAAGTAATAATGAACAATGCAGAACCTAGTGGAACAAATATACAAAATCATATTGTATGATAATTTTATCAACAAAAGCCTGGAAGTTAGATTTCTTGTTATTAGGCTTTTTATTATTACCTGCTTTTAAATAATAACAAAGTATGATTCATTCATCAAATGTGTAAAACATTGATTTTTATAATTAATATTATTATTATTTTAATTTCTTAAAAAAAAATATTTGAATTGAACTAAAAATTATGAAGAAAAAATAAATTCAGACCAATTGGCTCAAATGTCAAATTACTCTATTATATTTGCAATAATTTTCATATGTAAAATTTATTTGTTTATAACAATTTATTTTCGGAAGTTAATAGTAAACATATTATTAACACTAATAATTCACATGTGATAATTGTTATGATTATAAAATAGTTTTTTTTTAAATTAGTATTGATGTAAAAATATTTAACATTTTAAAAATTTAATTGTAATTTTATCATTTCATATATTTTGATAAATTGACAATATTAGACATACATTTTGTTATGTACTGTCATCCTATATTTACATATATCGTGTATATTTTTTTATTTTCTTTATGGTATTCTTAATGTGCTTCTTAAAATACTAGCTGGAAAGTTATTGTTTCTGTATAATTATATTTTTATTTAAATAGTTTTAATGTACTTGCAAAAGTGATGAATGATGTGTAACTCATTTGATATAATATATTGTTTTTATATTATTTTCCATTATATTTTTAATATTATTATTTATTTTAATTTTTATAATTATGTGTTCCTTACATTTATTTCTTGAATAGGTTTTTTTTTTTTGTAAATTGTGATTTTCATTACATTATTAAAATGTTAAAAAATATATCTATAATAAATTAATTTAGCATGAAAATTAAATTTAAAAAAGTTCTATGTTGGATATTTATATTTATCCATTGTCTATGATAGTTAATAAATATGTGAGAGTTAAATATTAAAGAAAAGTTTATTTCTATTTTCATTAGTATTATAAAAATGCATGGCCAATACAAATAATAATTTTTAATTTTATAGAATTCTTAATTATTTGTGTTTAGTGATAAAAACAAGAAAATCTTTTATTCTGAAATTATTATTTTGAAATATTATTTAGGGTGACATTGTAGAATATAATGACTAAGGAATATTTTAATAACATTTTATATGTATTATTTGTATAGATTATTTAAATAGTCATAAAAATTATAATTATGTATATGTTATTCGATTCAATATTTCTTGTATAATAAAAAAACAATCCCATTAAATTGATCAAAAATATAATTTCTTTAAATTATCGTTATCAAGTCATTAAGTCTTTAGAAAAATAAATTGATAAACCTAAACTCACTCAGAATGGTTTTTTCAAGAGCAATGATACATTGATTTAAAGTTTAAAAGATCACTGCTATTAAATGACATGACCACAATGTCTTTTCTTCTCTTTATAGGTTGGTAATATTTTAAGCATATAACTGGACAATTTAATAAAGTAGATAATGGTAAAGGTATATTGTATATCCCGAAAGCAATTTTATATATCAGCAATTGATTTTTTTTATATATTTATACATCAAACTGCTACATATTTTATTGTCCAATGATCCAAGTTTGTTGTAAATATTTAAAATGAACCATAAATAGGAAGTTATTGAGACTTGTATTGTAAAACGATACAATAAAACTACACTTTTACCTTTCAATACTCGTTAATTTTATATAAATGTAAAGTTGGATCAGTGTTCGATTTTGAAAATTTTTCGAGTCGAGTTTGAGTATTCGACTGGACTCGACAAAAAAATGTTTATAATTGACATACTCGTAAAACGAAAAATATATATTATAACTGTAAATAACTAGTAGCCAAAGATTTCCTATGGAAAATACTAAGAAGATTGATGGATTAAATTAATAACAATAGTTATTTCTTTGGTTTTTGGCTATTATCATGATAACAACATATTATACAGATCGGTAATTACGACTGTTCCTCGAGTACTCGACATTTTTTAACTACCTACTCGACATTTTTTCCCGGAATACACGACTTTTCTCAAGTATTCGGCATTTGTCAAGTACCTATTCGATTCCGAAATAATTAATTATTTTTTCAAAATCGATTCGAATGGGACATCAAAAAACAATACTCGTCCACCACTATCTGAATGTATTGCGCTTCGACCAATGATTAAAAAAATTACGTTGTCCAGAATTCTGCCAAGTAGCGTGCATGTTCCCGTTTAGAAGACGATGGACGGGACACGGACAACCACTCGCACATGTAGGAGTGTCATTATAAGTCACTGATAGCCAACCAGGTGTTGTAACGCTGCAATGATACCAGTGGTTTAAGCAGTTTGGTATTGGCGGAGCCAATCGTCAGAGAGATTAACGCGAAGTAATCGGGTGACCATCACCGGAACCGTACGGAATCTCGTCCGCCGCACCCAAATTGAATTTATCTCACCGAGTACAGTGAAGTTACATTTTGATTCGAAACAAAACAACGCAATGAAAATCGTTTATCAAAACGTACGCGTAAGAAGTAACAAAATAAATCGTACCAATGGCGGCAAAGTACTAAATACATAGTCCGACGAAAAATATAAGATCAAAATATCTAATTATCGGTTCCAATGAACGACGTATCGGATGTGGAAAAGGACATGCATAGTTTTTTCCCAACCAATATTTTAGTTAGGCTTTAATTTTGTTTTGAAGCTTTCATATGGTTCGGTAGCCAAACTTCAGCTTAATATGAAGCGGCCCCATTCTAATTTTTCAAAAAATGCCGTGCCTAGGCTCAAATTCCTATATAGGGTTCGGCGCCACTGAACTGTATACTTCATAAGTAAAACATCCAGCAAAGTATAAGCTCTGCCTAACCTCGGTTATCCGTTTTACCAGTCGCAGAAAGTACGGTATCCGTAAATTAGTCGCCACCATGGTTATATACAAATAATTATGTTCTCAAACATCTAGAATTCTAGTTGTACATAATTCAATATGATTCATATGATTAGAGCACTAAACGACAGAACATCTGATAGCTGGTAAGTGACAATGAAATCGTTTTCATTAATTCTATTATTCTATGATCTAGTCTAGATATAATCTCCGACTGGCTAGCGGGCAGTGATTACCACATAATAATAGGCTATATATAGTATCAAAGATTAGATTAGGTTATCGTTTTTATGTGTACCTAATCGTTACTCGTTATATTTTTAGTATCGTTTGCACTTTGTACCTATTTATAATATAAAAAAAATATATTCATATTATGTATATTTTTTTTTTATATTATTGACTTATATTATTGAATGTATAATATGTATTAAACATTCTTATGTTCCTAAAGATAATAAGATTTTCATTGTTTTTGATAATTTTTTTATTTTTTTTTTTTATTTGAATCAGTCTAAAGCCAACGACCTGGTAGAAATAAAAAATATCTCACAGTGTTCTCGCTAAAATAATTGGATCTACGAGTTCAATGAATCGAGTATTCCAAAAATTAATGTTTGCTACAAAAAATAATACGCTGCATAGGTCCATAGGTTGTTCCAATGTTCAAGGATGTTGAGAGGTAAATTAAATAGGTGAAATATACGATGATAGTTTAACTAAAAATCGTTTTAAAATGAAAATTTCGGTGAAAGTTAATTGAAATTATCAAATTTACAACAGATCTTGGTATTTCATCGGTAGATATTTGAGTCATTAAAGAAGTAATATTTACATGTTATCATTTTGGCGACACATCTCGCCGGTACCACTGTTATATGAAGTAAACGATGTTCAATTTTACTTGTCTTATTCTATTTATGTTCATTAAATATTTTCATTTTTACCAAACTACACTTTTTATAATTTTTTAAAATAAAAATAAAAATAAATTTATATTTATTCTATAAGTCTTTAATTCTAGTAGTATACTTGAATTTGGAACATTGGGTTTCTTTATAACCAGTGACGCCGACCAGCATTTTGAATGGTCTGGTCAATAGCCACTAAATTTAAAACTTATAACCCACCCTACCCAAGGACGTACTTTAAAGAGTTGGGAATTCAACCCCTATCAAAAATCATTAACATATTTTTTCCTTTATGATAGAATTTAGATACTTAAATATCTTAAATAGTAATTATTAAAAGGCAGTATTATAATTTATTGTTGATTGGATTAATTAACTTATTACTCGTATACTAATCCATCACGCATCACCCACCACCTTAAAAATATGATCTGGTTATGACCAGACTTGAACCTCGAGTTCGGCGCCACTGTTTACAACAGCGAACGGCTGTAATCGAGAAACCAGCCCAAAATAATGTGAATCTCGAATTACATCGCCTGCAACTACAGGTAAATTTTTTTATTTTTAATTACAACTATAAGTATCTATAGTGAAATTAATCAAATTCATGTTTCTTTAACTTAAATTTTTTTTAAATATTTTAACCATCACATTTTTATAGCTAAAAATATTAAAGTATTATTTGTTATGTAATTAGTATTTTAAAATAACTTAAATTAATTAATGTATTTCATTAATTTCTCATTTTTATTTTATTTGAATACTCAAAATGTTAATCGATTATCTTTTATAAAATTTTAATTTTTTATTTAAATAATCAGTAATCTAAATTATAATACCGATTTTTAATGTTAATTTCAATTGTATATAATTCACTATCAATGCTTCCGCAATCGTCTTATTGAAGCCTTTAGTTATTTGCAGTGTTGAGCCTAGATAAATACTTTTTTATCTAGATAAAGATAAAGATAAAAAACTTCAAATCTATCCAGATAAAGATAAAAATGAACAAATCCAAAATTATCTATTAATAGATAAAAGATAAACATAATTTATCTAGATAAAAAGCAGATAAATTTTTAAATAACAATGATTTCAAATTAAAATTGTACTATAAGTCTAATAAAATTTAACAGACTTATCACATATAAAACATTTATAGCATTTGTTTAAGGCAAACGCCTAATTGTAGTGTAGTTTCTATAATTTAAAAATTATTTTTTTGTTAAGAATAAAAAAAAAACATAGGTACATTTTGCTATTCATTATCTTTATTTTTGAATCCCATAAAAGTTTTTAATTTTATAATTAAAATTGTATATATTCAATTTTAACTATGT